TTTCGGAATATTTCGAAAACTCAGAAAATTTCGAAAAGTGTAAAATATTTTACATATTATTGATTTCAAATTTTTTCTTTATAATTATGAATTATTGCAAAATTGTTTAGAAAATTTTTTAATTTTAACAAGTAGACCATTAATTTTAGTCTGTTTTATTTATTATTATTGCATCTGAGCAATTCCACGTAAGATTTTAGTCGACCTCTTAAAATCGGCCAAAAATTTTTTTTTCTATTCTGTATCGAAAAAAACAGATACGTATTTTTTTTACAATTGACTTTTTAAAACTGTCTACAGCGTAGATCCTTTGATTTAGAACAAAAAACACTTAAATAGATTAAAAATTATACGCTGTAGACAGTTTTAAAATGTTAATTGGGGGTCAAGATGGGGTAGGAGAGAGTGGGGCAAGACGGGGTTCACAAATTGAGCGAAAGAAAAGAGAAATAAGAGAAGTTAAGAAAACTACTTAAATCAAGACTGAATAAAATAAAAGTGGCCAAAAAGAAAAAAGTTTGTCAGCTTAAGTCATCAATTAACGATGGTAAAGTGGAAAATACACCTTGTCTCTATTGTAATGGTTATTATTTAGACTCAAATGAAGGCTGGGCTGCTTGTTCTGTCTGCGGCTAATGGGCTTTGAGCAGTTGTGCCGGTGTCGATGTCAAAGATAAAAATGCAACCTTTACTTGTAAAATTTGTCAACAGAAATAGGTTGTTTTTTTTAGTATACCATCTTACCCCTACGGGTACCCCATCTTACTCGCCGGTGGGGTCGTAAGATGGGGAGATTTGCAATTTTTTCAATATTATTAATTATAAGCTTTTTTAAGAAACAGATGGCCTTTGTACGCCTTTTTTACGAAAGACTGATTCCCAAAGATGGTAATTAGAAAAAAATAATAAAGTATATATTCGATAATTTTCGTTTTTTTTTGCGCTTTAAGCCTTAAGTACCCCGTCTTGCCCCACTCTTCCATATAGAGAAGATTTTCCAAAAAGTCCTGAAATGGGCCTGATGTGTTTAAATGAGTTTTAAAACATTTTCAAAAATCACTTGCAAGCATCCACGGTGGTCTTCAAGCACTTTTAGGTTTACCTAAAATGAGTCAAAATTGTGCTAACGCAGTTTTATCTGGAATCGGCCCAAGATTCCAAATTTTCATTTCCGAAAATCGTAGCTGATTCTTTTTTAAAAAAAAACACACATATATATATATATATATATATATATATATATATATATATATATTACTAGGGGGGCTTTGACCCCCTATTTCTATTTTTATATTTATTTTAATTTTAATTTTTATAAATTTAAAATAATGTTTTCTTATATGAATGCATTATAATAAATTACATACAACCCCCTATCTGTATTTTTTATATTTATTTTAATTTTTATAAGTTTTAAATAATGTTTTTTTAATATGAATGCATCATAATAAATTACAATAAGTATATGACAAAGTACACATGGATTTTGAAGTAATGGAACAATCGTTATTGACCTTTTTTTAACCTTATGTGAAAAATTAGATTAAATTTTGACTTATATTTTGACTCTTTTTAATTTTAAAGTTATGTTTGCTTTCCCACCTATTATTTTGACCTAATTTTGACGTTTTATTTTTACATTTTTACATTTTATTTTATTTATTATTATTATTTATTTTATTTTTATTTATTTTTATTTTATTTTTATTTTTATTTTTATTTTTATTTTTTTTTACATTTTTTTTTTTTTATTTTAACATCTTTTATTGATTGGAACATACTTTTAAAATTTAGGTCAAACTTCTTTTAACCTATAGGTAAAAAATTTCGTCAAATTTTAATATAAGGTAACGACCTCTTGAAGAATCCTAATTAATTTGCTTTTTTGATATGTAGGTTAAAAAATATGTCAAATTTGACCTAAATTTTAAAGACCCTTTTAACTGCTTAAATTTTGGGCCCTTAAAATTGACCTACATTTTGAGGGCAGAGGGAATTGTTTTTCAATTTTTCACCTGTAGGTTAAAACTGTCCTTCAAATTGACATAAATTTTAAGAGAAGAGGGAGTAGTTTGTCAATTTTTGATCTGCAGGTTAAATCTGCCTTTAAAATTAACCTAAATTTTGCGATCAAAGGGAATTGTTTGTCAATTTTTGACCTGTAGATTAAAACTGCCCTTAAAATTGACCTACATTTTAAGGTCAGAGAGAATTGTTTGTGAATTTTTGACGTTTAGGTCAAAACTGCCCTTAAAATTGACCTACATTTTGAGGGCAGAGGGAATTATTTGTCAATTTTTACCTGAAGATTAAAACTGTCCTTCAAATTGACATAAATTTTAAGGGCAGAGGGAGTAGTTTGTCAATTTTTGACCTGCAGGTTAAATCTGCCTTTAAAATTAACCTACATTTTGCGATCAGAGGGAATTGTTTGTCAATTTTTGACCTGTAGATTAAAACTGCCTTTAAAATTAACCTAAATTTTGCGATCAGAGGGAATTGTTTGTCAATTTTTGACCTGTAGATTAAAACTGCCCTTAAAATTGAACTACATTTTGAGGTCAGAGAGAATTGTTTGTGAATTTTTGACGTTTAGGTCAAAACTGCCCTTAAAATTGACCTAAATTTTGAGGGCAGAGGGAATTATTTGTCAATTTTTACCTGAAGATTAAAACTGTCCTTCAAATTGACATAAATTTTAAGGGCAGAGGGATTAGTTTGTCAATTTTTGACCTGTAGGTTAAATCTGCCTTTAAAATGGACCTAAATTTTGAGGGTAGAGGGAATTGTTTGTCAATTTTTGACCTGTAGGTTAAAACTGCCCTTAAATTTGACCTAAATTTTGAGGGCAGAGCGATAAGTTTATCAATTTTTGACTTTTAAGTCAAAACTACCCTTAAAATTGACTTAAATTTTGAGGGCATATTGGTTAGTATGTCAATTTTTTACCTGTAGGTTAAATCTGCCTTTAAAATTGATTTAAATTTTGAAGGCTGAGGGATTAGTTTGTCAATTTTTGACCTGTAGGTTAAAACTGCCCTTAAAATTAACCTCAATTTAGGTCAAATGTAACTTGTTTCTGACTATGGGCCTACCTTAACAGTGGGCCAACCTTGACTATGTTTCCTCTACTATAAAAGGCCCTTAGAAATCCTGACTCTGCGGCGGCTGCGAAATGTTTTTAATATATAATAGGATTTTAGTCAACCTCTTAAAATCGGCCAAAAATATTTTTTTCTATTCTGTATCGAAAAAAACAGATACGTATTTTTTCATTTTTGTTTAATTGTCCAAATTTTCGAGTTATGAATTTTCGAAATTTTGGACTTGTAATAATTGTAGACCCATATTCAGTAGCTTATAAATCCGAAAATATTGAGTTTAAGAAAAAGTTGTCAAAGAACGAAAGTTTTAGTTTTCTTTCGACTTTTAAGAAATGTAAACAAAAAATTTTTTTAAATTTTTTAAAACATTTTTTTATAAACAAATTAATTTTTTTAACTTTAGGCCGGATTTTTTTTATTTTTTTTTTAAATTTATTTGTTCCTCATAATATTGAGAAGATTTTTCAAAAAATCCCAAAATGGCCTTGATGTGTTAAATAAGTTTTAAAACATTTTTAAAAATCACTTGCAAGCATCACAGAGGGATTATTTTACAATTAACTTTTAAAAATGTCTACAGCGTAGACTCTTTAATTTAAGACAAAGAACACTCAAATAGATATAACATTATACGCTGTAGACATTCTTAAAAGTTAATTTTAAAATAATCTCTCTGTGATGCTTGCAAGTGATTTTTGAAAATGTTTTAAAACTCATTTAACACATCAGGCCCATTTCGGGACTTTTTGGAAAATCTTCTCTATATTATGAGGTATAAATAAATTTAAAATTTTTTTTTAAAAATCCGGCCCAAAGTTAAAAAAAAAAATTTGTTTATAAAAAAAAAATTTTTTTGTTTTCATTTCTTAAAAGTCGAAAGAAAACTAAATCAAATTTTTTTTAAATATTTTTTTTCTTTCAGTGCTCGTTGAAATGAGCTACCATGATTTTTTTCAAATTTTTTTATAAAGCGATTTAAAACATACAGATTTTTGAACAATTACGTTTTTTACGTAAATTTTTTTTTGAAATGTTTATAACTCTGATATTTTTGTTTTCACACAAAGTTTTTAATAAAAATATGGAAAAAAAATTTTTTATGAAATTTACGATAAGATTTTAAAAATTTTTTTAAAAATTTTATTTTTAACAATGTATGTATCGATCAATTTTTTTCAAAATTTTTTGTAAGAAACTAAATTAACAATTTTTAAGCCTTGTCTGATTGTGGGCAAACGATGGCATCTATTTATTTTGAAATTTTTAATTTTTATATAACGCATCTGCCAAATGCCTAACTTGCCTTTGACCAAATCACACAAATTTTTCACAGCAAAACTGTTTTCGGACTGAGTCCTTCCGAACTTAACCTTCTTACTGTGTAAAATTGTGTTTTGATCAATTGGCAAGTTAGGCATTTGGCTACCTACCGTTTTCGCTGCGTATATAAAAATTAAAAATTTCAAAATAAATAGATCCCATCGTTTGCCCACAATGAGACATGGCTTAAAAATTTTTAATTTAGTACTTGTTTCTTACAAAAATTTTGAAAAAAATGATCGATACATACATTGTTAAAAATAAAAATTTTAAAATCTTATCATAAATTTTATAAAAAAATTTTTTTTTCATATTTTTATTAATTTTTAAAAATCTGTACATATCTCATAAATCGCTTTATGAAAAAATTTGAAAAAAAATCATGGTAGCTCATTTCAACGAGCACTGAAAGAAAAAAAGTATTAAAAAAAAATTTGACATGCAAGAGCACAATGATTTCAGACTTGGCGTGGAATACCCCACATGCATCTCTAAGTATTTCACTAATTCAGATTTAGAGACATTTTGTGAGTACTGATGAGTAATAAAGAAAACAGGGAAAGAAAAAATTCTCACCTAGACTAGCAGTCATAGCGTCAAGATCCTTGGGCTTCCTTTTTCTGGGTCTTCCCTTCTGTCTGGGAGGTGGAACATTGGTGCCGGAGCCGTTGAAATAGGAGGGCACCTTGGGGGGTGAGCCAGCCTCGGGACATGATGGTGTTGTCGATTGTAGATGTACGGGACTCACGTGTGTATGCTGATGTTGATGCATCGTATTATGTGAATGTGGACCATGTGGATGATGATGCAAAAATTCAGGCGAGGGAAACGATTGACCCGGATAATGTGGTCCCGGGGGATAAACAGGAACCGGTGGACTTTGTGATGGATGCATTTCTGCTCCCATTTCATAATGATGTCTACACAAAACAACTCCATCTCTCATTCCAAAATGGTCCCCCTTTGTCAAGGGCACACCGCAAGCGGCACACGAAAAACATCTCACATGAAACACCAATTCACGGGCTCTCATCACCAATTCAGAGGCAAGTATCGCCGCATGACATCTTGCACATCGTTTCATGCTGCCAAATATTCTGTAACAGAATTATCATAATATTTTTTATTATTATTCATTGTTTTCAAGAATGTATCAAATTGATACCAAAATTTTTATCAAATTTGTTCCAAATATTGGTATTGATTCATTTCAATGTCATACTTTCTATTTAACAGTGTTGTAGTTATTAGTTTCATTGTTTTAAATTATTATTATAAAAAGTATTAATATCAACATTGTTATTAAAAGTGAATTACTTTAATTGATATATAAAGACATTTTCATTTTCCGAATGGTGGGCAACAAAGCAAGTGTTAAATTTCTTAAGGAGGATGCTATTGATAGAAATGCAGTTTGAAGAAGTCCAAGTACGTTGACGATAAAAAAGGGAGAATCAAGGTTAGAGGGGGAAAAATAGCGATGCACCGGGCAGAATGACATCGCTACTGCATTAGCACCCGAGAGTCTCCATTACGAACACAAGCTGCATATCTGTTCGATATCTTCTTTAGCTACCAGACAACCTGCCTGATTATCTTTACCTCCAAATATATTACATCTAGAAACGGTCTTCTCTTTGCAGTCATATACCGAGGAAGAACTAGATAAAGATGTGTCCAATTTTATATAATGAACCTTTCCATGGTTGTTTTCTCGGAAAAACGTATAGGTATATATACGTGATTTTGTTAATGCGAAACGGTTATCGTTTTACTCTCGAAAATATCAGTCACGTTTCTTTGCTCAAAAAAAATTATTGACAATCTTTCATCATTCCCTTCAGGCTTAGTTTCATTTTGCTTCTTCATGAGGAAGCTTTGCATTTGTGACGATTTTCAATTTTTCAAAAGAAGGTTATATGGACTCATTTTCATCTAGAATACGTGAATATGAACCTGTGAAGAAATTTTATTATGGCCCTAATCGGGACCAGATCAGGAGCGGGACTCTGAGTTAGCGCGCAATATAATAGCGCCACTATAATAGCGCTCACTATAATAATGCCATAGCGCCACTAAAATAGTGCTCACTATAATAGCGCCACTATAATAGCGCTCACTATAATAGTGCCATAGCGCCGCTATAATAGTGCTCACTATAATAGCGCCACTATAATAGTGCTCACTATAATAGCGCCACTATAATATTGCTCACTATAATAGCGCTCACGAAAATAGTGCCATAGCGCCACTATAATAGTGCTCACTATAATAGCGCTCACTATAGTGAGCACTATTATAGCGGCGCTATGGCACTATTATAGTGAGCGCTATTATAGTGAGCACTATTATAGTGGCGCTATGGCACTATTATAGTGAGCGCTATTATAGTGGCGCTATTATAGTGAGCACTATTATAGTGGCGCTATGGCACTATTATAGTGAGCGCTATTATAGTGAGCACTATTATAGCGGCGCTATGGCACTATTATAGTGAGCGCTATTATTGTGGCGCTATTATAGTGAGCACTATTATAGTGGCGCTATGGCACTATTATAGTGAGCGCTATTATAGTGGCGCTATGGCACTATTATAGTGAGCACTGTTATAGCGGCGCTATGGCACTATTATAGTGAGCGCTATTATTGTGGCGCTATTATAGTGAGCACTATTATAGTGGCGCTATGGCACTATTATAGTGAGCGCTATTATAGTGGCGCTATTATAGTGAGCACTATTATAGTGGCGCTATGGCACTATTATAGTGAGCGCTATTATTGTGGCGCTATTATAGTGAGCACTATTATAGTGGCGCTATGGCACTATTATAGTGAGCGCTATTATAGTGAGCACTATTATAGTGGCGCTATGGCACTATTATAGTGAGCGCTATTATAGTGGCGCTATTATAGTGAGCACTATTATAGTGGCGCTATGGCACTATTATAGTGAGCGCTATTATAGTGGCGCTATTATAGTGAGCACTATTATAGTGGCGCTATGGCACTATTATAGTGAGCGCTATTATAGTGAGCACTATTATAGTGGCGCTATGGCACTATTATAGTGAGCGCTATTATTGTGGCGCTATTATAGTGAGCACTATTATAGTGGCGCTATGGCACTATTATAGTGAGCGCTATTATAGTGGCGCTATTATAGTGAGCACTATTATAGTGGCGCTATGGCACTATTATAGTGAGCGCTATTATAGTGAGCACTATTATAGCGGCGCTATGGCACTATTATAGTGAGCGCTATTATTGTGACGCTATTATAGTGAGCACTATTATAGTGGCGCTATGGCACTATTATAGTGAGCGCTATTATAGTGAGCACTATTATAGCGGCGCTATGGCACTATTATAGTGAGCGCTATTATTGTGGCGCTATTATAGTGAGCACTATTATAGTGGCGCTATGGCACTATTATAGTGAGCGCTATTATAGTGGCGCTATTATAGTGAGCACTATTATAGTGGCGCTATGGCACTATTATAGTGAGCGCTATTATAGTGGCGCTATGGCACTATTATAGTGAGCGCTATTATAGTGGCGCTATGGCACTATTATAGTGAGCACTGTTATAGCGGCGCTATGGCACTATTATAGTGAGCGCTATTATTGTGGCGCTATTATAGTGAGCACTATTATAGTGGCGCTATGGCACTATTATAGTGAGCGCTATTATAGTGGCGCTATTATAGTGAGCACTATTATAGTGGCGCTATGGCACTATTATAGTGAGCGCTATTATTGTGGCGCTATTATAGTGAGCACTATTATAGTGGCGCTATGGCACTATTATAGTGAGCGCTATTATAGTGAGCACTATTATAGTGGCGCTATGGCACTATTATAGTGAGCGCTATTATAGTGGCGCTATTATAGTGAGCACTATTATAGTGGCGCTATGGCACTATTATAGTGAGCGCTATTATAGTGGCGCTATTATAGTGAGCACTATTATAGTGGCGCTATGGCACTATTATAGTGAGCGCTATTATAGTGAGCACTATTATAGTGGCGCTATGGCACTATTATAGTGAGCGCTATTATTGTGGCGCTATTATAGTGAGCACTATTATAGTGGCGCTATGGCACTATTATAGTGAGCGCTATTATAGTGGCGCTATTATAGTGAGCACTATTATAGTGGCGCTATGGCACTATTATAGTGAGCGCTATTATAGTGAGCACTATTATAGCGGCGCTATGGCACTATTATAGTGAGCGCTATTATTGTGACGCTATTATAGTGAGCACTATTATAGTGGCGCTATGGCACTATTATAGTGAGCGCTATTATAGTGAGCACTATTATAGCGGCGCTATGGCACTATTATAGTGAGCGCTATTATTGTGGCGCTATTATAGTGAGCACTATTATAGTGGCGCTATGGCACTATTATAGTGAGCGCTATTATAGTGGCGCTATTATAGTGAGCACTATTATAGTGGCGCTATGGCACTATTATAGTGAGCGCTATTATAGTGGCGCTATGGCACTATTATAGTGAGCGCTATTATAGTGGCGCTATTATAGTGGCGCTATGTCGCTATTATAGTGGCGCTATTATAGTGAGCACTATTAAAGTGGAGCTATGGCACTATTATAGTGAGCGCTATTACACGGAGAGAAATTTGAACCGTAAAAGACAGTGTCTAATTCAGAAGGTTAAAAGAGGGGGAAAGTTCACGGTAAATCTGAGTGATTTCACCGAGTTTTTCCATTCACGAATTGCAAGTGGTAGTGACAGTAACCGTCAGAGAGCGCTACATCTTGTAGAAAATTATGATGAGTTTCCATTCGTCGCCTAAGACTCTGATCACTACCGTGATTTTACGTTCAACCTTCTCTCCGTGTATAGTGGCGCTATTATAGTGCGCGCTAACTCAAAGTCCCGCTCCAGGCATCCCTATTAGGGTAAGTCCGTGGGAGATGACCAATTCAAATATTTTACAGAATTTGTAAAAAAAACTATAACTTATTATGGGTTGTTCCTCAACCTTTTGTGACTAATAATAAATGTAAACAATAAATTGTTGAAGAATAATGAAAATGTACATGTCATATCCTTTTTCATTCTTTTTACATGGGTCTAAAATAATTTGAGAAATTCAGATTTCTTATTGTTAAATTGTTACTTTTTAACATAATTTTTAATTTTATGTTTTATTATAAGTAAATTTTATTGTACATTTTATTGAGTATTATATAACCCACGCTTTGATATAAATAAAAAATGAAAGGAAATAGTATATTTCGTAACGAGTGCGAGCAGTTGCCTACAGTTTGTTTAAAAAAAAGCGCTCATTCAAAAATTGGCAACTGTTCACACAAGTTACGAACGATATTTTTCATAACGAGGTGCAAAAAAGTGCCCTTTATAACACCGCGTCATAAAAAATTATTTTACTTATTTAATATTTTGATGTTTACTTTTATCAGGTATTGAATGATACATGATTATGAGATGGCTATTAATGACTTTTATTTTAATTTTTTTATATTAATTTTAGATGCTTAAGAAATATTAAAGAAAAACAAATTTAAAAAAGTATGATAACAAAATATTAATATAATTGACACCAGAGATGGAGATCTATTTGCAGGTTGAGGCTAAAGTTAAGTAAAACGACATTGATTGAAGATATTGGATTCAGTGCAGTATTTTAAATGTTTGGCTAATATACATAAAAACTGCAATGAATTCCATGATAAATATTCAAAATGCAACCAGGAAAAGAGAAAATTAATGTGAACGATTAAAAATTAAGCTTGAGTTAAAAGACAAAAGTCATAAGTATTGGCCATTTCTCCTGCATATAGGTACATGTGGCCATCTTTCCCGGATATTCCGGGAGAGATGGCCAAATGCACTTTTTAAAAATTGTAAATTTTAAGATTGTTATTTTTCGTTATTTGAAAGTTAAGCGTTCAATGTTTAATTATTAATAAAAGTTTAGACAAAAATCTAATAATAATAATCTAATAATGTTTAGTACTTTAAAAAAATAATGGCCATCTACTTACCCTATAGAAATTTTAATTAATTCTTGTCAAAATTATTTTCCTGTCACGAAAACGAATTA